CTACTTATATTTATAATGTGTCTTAATTTGTGAGATTTATAGTTTGTTACATATTAGTACGTATATTTATAATGTGCATTAATTTGTGTGATTTATAATATGTTATATGTGATAATAATTATTTGAAATGGATTTATTAATTGATATAAATATATATTTTGTGATTTAGTCATGACTATTAGGACTATATTCTTCATATTAGACTAGGGCTCTATCTAACATCTCTATATATTTGCTCCCTGTACTCTCAGACATTATTATTGAATACAACACAATTATATTCTCATATGGTATTAGTTAGCTAGGGTTTTCCTTTCCAACATCTATGTTCCACCGCACACGGCGAATTTGGAGAAATTTCAAAATTGCATGAAAAGAGATTAATGGAAGCTATGAATGCACATACAGGCATATTAACTTAATATATGTTTGATTCTTCGAGCTCGCAACACGTGGGCCAAAATAACGTGAAACACAGACCAAACTAATTTCTTGTAAAGACACGGCGTCACCTTGCTTCGTAATAGTAGCCGATGGCATCGAACCAAGATACACTGTATGAGAAGCGGTCCAGTCAATGACGTGGCGTTGATTATCCGTGTCAAATTTGTAAACGTTTTGGTCACACGGGAGCCAATTGTTTTTGGCGCTATGATGATCCTTGTCAAATTGGTAAACATTTTGGTCACACGGGAGCCAATTGTTTTTGGCGCTATGATGATCCTTGTCAAATTTGTAAATGTTTTGGTCACACGGGAGCCAACTGTTTTCAGCGTTATTCAGGGGCTCCGGGTTTTCAGGCTAATGCGGCCGTCTCTGGTGATAATGGTGATTCCAACAGTCCTCATCAGTGGTTCCCTGACACTGGTGCTACAAATCATGCTACGCCTGATTCTTCTTTGATGACTTCTGCGACACGTTATGATGGCCCGGAGACTCTGCGAGTCGGTAGTGGTACAGGTTTGCCTATTGTTAATGTTGGTTCCGCTTCGTTAGCTACTGATTCTAGGTCTTTTAAGTTACATGATGTTTTACATGTCCCTGGTCTTTCTTCTTCTCTATTGTCTGTCCAACGTTTTGCAAAAGACAATAATATTTTCTTTGAGTTTCACCCCCTTTGTTTCTATGTGAAGGACATTTTGACCAGGAAGGTTCTTTTTAAGGGACATGCGTCTGGGGGTCTCTACACATGGCCCACATCCTCCTCAGCTCTTGTTGCGTTTGTTGATGCGCGATCCTCTTACGTTTGGCACATGCGGTTGGGGCATCCTCATTCTCGAGTCTTACGTAAAATTTTAATGTCTTCGTCTATTGGTACATTTAATTCTAGTGATCTTCCCAATTTCTGTTCCTCTTGTCAATTGGGAAAATCCTCTCGTTTTCCTTTGACTTGTGTCGAAACTACTAATACGCATCCTTTGGAATTAATTTATTAAGATATTTGGGGCCCGGCGCCATTACTTTCTACATCTAGCTATAAATATTTTGTGTGTTTGTGGATGATTACACTGGTTATATATGGTATTATCCCATGCGTGCTAAATTTGATTTGTATGCTATATTTGATAAGTTTCGATCACTCATTGAACGTTCTTTTTCTCGCAAGATTATTTCCTTTCAATCTGATTTAGGGGGAGAATATAAAAAGCTTGGTTCCACTCTTGCTCCGCTGTGTATTCGCCACAGGCAATCCTGTGCGTATACTCACGAGCAAAATGGTCGAGTGGAACGCAGACATCGTCATGTTGTTGAGACAGGGTTGTCTTTAATGGCTCTAGCATCTGTCCCGTCTCGTTTTCGGGACTATGCTTTTGAAACTGCTGTGTATCTAATTAATAAAATGCCTACTCGTGTTCTTCTAATGAGTCCCATCACTTCCGTTTACATCGATCTACCCCGTCCTACTCTTACTTGCGAGTGTTTGGCTGTTTGTGCTTTCCTGTCCTACGTTCTTATAATCACAATAAACTCCAGTTTCGTTCATCTCCCTATGTCCTTCTAGGCTATCCTCCATCTTATCGTGGTGATATGAACCTTGTCCAAGATTCAAATAAGATGGAATATTGTCCCAAGGATGCTCTCAAAAGTAATGATAGAGATGGATCAAAATACCTTAAACCTCACGAGAAACCCTTTGTCTCGAATCCTCAAAGACTTAGAAGAATCCCATTGTAGCTTCAAGTACCTCGATGCTGCAATCTTCAATCAACTAGAGTCGGATCTAGTTTCCTTCGATTCAAGAACGAGTCCACAAACCTAAATCTAAGGCTGAAGAAAGGAAGATTGATTTGAGTCCACGAATCAATTTGTTAGTCGAGTCCACGAGTAGCCACTAATTGAGTCCACAATTAGCCATAAGGTTTCTTACACAAGTGTAAAGAAAAACGTAAGAATTTTATTGAATTAAAGCCTGCTTGAAACTGATATTGCTGGGCCCTATTTATATGTATAGGGGCAGCATTATAATCCTAAATACAATGGGAAAAAGAGTCCTAAACCTAATCTAGAAAACAAGTAAATATAGTCCTATTTAGAAAGGGATTTAAGGAATCCTTTCTAAATACAAACTAGTGTTTTCTCTTTTATGCCAAACAATTTAAATTAATGATGACAAAAAATAATAGGGCTGATTTGGGCCAAATTTAATCACCAAAATCAGCACTTAAACAATTATAAAAAGCCTTGAGTTCTTTTCCATCATTTGCAATTGGGCTTGAATTAGATTTCTACCATTTTTGAACATAACCAATGAAGAGTTGTCTTAATTGTTTGGACTTAGACCTTGTGATTGGCCCAACTGGTACTCTTAATGGATCTTCAGCAGTTTGGGTTGCATTACGTTGCTATCGTTGTTTGGACACTAACACTAACAAGGTTTTTATATGTCGTCACGTGCGATTCGATGAGACTGTGTTTCTCTTTGTTTCTCCTATTGCCTCGCAGGTTACTACACCGCATTCCGAACCGTGGGCTACTGCACCATAGGTGACGGGCCAAGGAAGTGATGTCTCAACCACGGTTACTGATGGCGCTTGGCAGATTTACGAGCCGTGGCGGCTTCTGGCGGTGATGTCGGTCGGTCACGAGCAGTCCGCATCGAGTGAGCAGACTGTCTCGGACCAGCAGGTTGAGCACCGCGGAAGACCACGCAGACGTCCTCGACGTGCTACTCCACCACTTCGGTCGCATAGCATGAACACTCGCAGCTCCGGCTCGCATCAACATGTTGCCTTAACCACTATTTCCACTATATTGCCTGAGTCTACCTGTTAATCTCAGGCGGTCAAGTTTCCTGAGTGGCGTGATGCGATGGATGCGGAGTTCAATGCCTTGGTCCATAATCATACGTGGCGTCTCGTTCCATCTCAACCAGGTATGAATGTTGTTGGTTACAAGTGGGTTTTCAGAACCAAACGGAAGGCCGATGGTTCAATAGACCGTCATAAAGCAAGGTTAGTAGCCAAGGGTTTTAATCAGGTTGTTGGAGAGGAATTTTTTGAGACCTATAGTCCTGTGGTTAAACCCACTACGGTTTGTCTTCTCTTATCTTTAGCCGTATCTCGTGGGTGGTCTATTCGCCAGTTGGATATTCACAACGCCTTTGTAAATGGCAAGCTAGCTGAAATTGTTTACATGCGACAGCCACCTGGTTATGAGGATAAGTCGTTACCTAATCATGTATGTTTGCTTAAAAAATCTCTATACGGTCTCAAACAGGCTCCACGTGCATGGTTCACAAAGCTACATGATTTTCTTGTCTCTATGGGCTTCTCGCCTTCTAAGACGGATGTGTCTCTTTTTATCTATTCTCGTGACAATATTCGTCTTTATTTCTTGGTGTATATTGATGACATTTTAATTGTGGGTTCTGACTCAGATCGTGTTACTGCTCTTATTGATAAATTAGCACTTGAATTTAAGGTTCGTGATATGGGTGTGCCTTCTTTCTTCTTGGGAATAGAAACTGTCCCGTTATCTGGCGGTATGCTTTTATCCCAACAACGGTACATGAAGGATATTCTCAAACGTGCTAGCATGGTGGACTGCAAGCCAGTAATCACGCCTGTCTTTTCTGCGAAAATCACAAACGACGTGGTTGTTCCCTATGCCGATCCAACACAATACAGGAGTCTGGCTGGTGCTCTCCAGTATCTTATGGTAACTCGTCCGGATCTATCTTATGCTATTAATCTTTTGTGTAAACATATGCATGCTCCCACTACTACAGACTGGGCCTCTCTAAAGAGAGTCCTACGGTATGTCAAAGGCACCCTGAATCTTGGCCTGCGTATTTCTCGATCTACATCTATGGATATTCACGCTTATTCTGACTCAGATTGGGCTGGCGATCCGAATGACCGCAAATCTACTAGTGGTTTTGTTGTGTTCTTGGGCAGTAATCTTATATCTTGGGTTTTTCGGAAGCAACGTGCTGTGGCACGTTCTTCCACTGAAGCAGAATACAAGGGACTCGCTGATGTATCTGCAGAAGTTACATGGCTCGTTTTTCTGTTACATGAAATCGGCATCCCGCCTGCGTCTCCTCCTCGACTATGGTGTGATAATTTGGGAGCTATTTATTTATGCGCCAATCCAGTGTTTTATGCCCGCACAAAGCACATTGAGATTGACTATCATTTTGTTCGCGATAAAGTAGCCAAAAAGGAGTTAGAAGTGCACTTTATTTCAACCAAGGATCAACTAGCGGATATTTCCACAAAGTGTCTGTCGTCTCTTCGTTTTAACTCTCTCCGTGACAAGCTCAATGTTTTGGCTAGCCAACCTTGTGCTTGAGGGGGAGTATTAGGATGAGACGATATGATTTCAAATTCAAAAAAATAGTTTCAATCAGATTACAGAGCATGAGATTACTAGAGTCCTATAGGAGAAATAACTGATAGTCTCCTACTATTCAGGCTAGGACTATTGACTACATTACAACCAATAATATTAAAGCATACAATATACACATGAAATATTAATATTCCTAACACACCCCCTCAAGCACAAGGGTGGATGCTGTCCACATTAAGCTTGTCCCTCAGAGTATGAAAATGTGGAGCTGGTAGGGGTTTGGTGAAGATGTCAGCAACCTGGTCCTTGGTTGAAACAAAGTTGACGACGAACTCCCCTGAAGCAACTTTATCACGGACAAAGTGAAAATCAATCTCGACGTGCTTCGTTCTGGCGTGGAGCACGGGATTAGTGGCTAAGTATGTTGCCCCCAGATTATCACACCATAGTGTAGCGGGATCGCCAGTATGTAGACCCAACTCCCGGAGTAAGGAGATGACCCAGGTAACTTCAGCAGCTACGTCGGCAAGACCTTTGTACTCGGCCTCTGTTGAGGAGCGTGCAACGGTGCGTTGCTTCCGAGACAGCCAGGAGATGAGGTTAGACCCAAAGAAGACCGCATAACCACTAGTGGATTTTCAGTCTATAGGACACCCGACCCAATCTGAGTCTGAGAAGGCATGTATAGCGGAAGACGACGACAGAGATAAACGTAGCCCGGAGTTGAGAGTGCCTTTGACATACCGAAGAACACGTTTGAGAAGCCCCCAATGATCCTGCGTGGGGGAATGCATGAACTGACAAAGCCTGTTAACTGAAAAAGAAAGATCCGGCCGAGTAATAGTCAAATACTGCAGAGCCCCAACTATCCTGCGGTATTGAGTCGGATTATCGAAAGGGTCTAGTGTCGGTGTAGCCGGTTGAGTGACTGCGGCCGGAGTAGCCAAGGGTTTACAGTCTGTCATACCTGCACGTGAGAGGATATCTGCTATATACCTCCGTTGAGACAACAAGAAGTTAACATCAACAGATAAAGTCTCAATGCCTAGGAAGAAGGTAGGCTTGCCCAAGTCCCGGATGAATGTAGACGATAGACGCCGTAGGAGGGAATCAATTAACACTTAGTCGTTGCCGAACATAATAATGTCGTCTACATAGACGAGTAAGAACACCCTGGAGTCACTGTCGGTGTAGTGGAATAACGACACATCAGTTTTGGAGGCGAGGAACTCTGTTGATATTAGAAACTCATGTAGGCGCTTGAACCATGCCCTAGGTGCCTGCTTCAAGCCATAAAGTGAACGCTGTAAGTGTCACACGTGATCCGGATGTGCAGGATCCTCGTATCCCGGGGGTTGCTTCATGTAAACTGTCTCAGATAGATGCCCATTAAGAAAGGCATTGTGGACATCTAGCTGCCGCATGGTCCATTTGTGAGACACGGCAAGAGAAAATAATATCCGAACAGTGGTTGGTTTAACAACCGGACTGAACGTGTCAAAAAAGTCTTCACCAGCTACTTGGTTGAACCCTTTGGCAACCAGACGCGCTTTGTAGCGCTCTATTGAGCCATCAGCTTTACGCTTAGTGTGGAACACCCACTTGCAGCCAATGACATTCATGTGCGGTGTTGCTGGGACTAGATTCCAAGTGTTGTTATGTAGTAGCGCATTAAACTCCTCGTCCATGGCATCCCGCCATTGCGGATGTCCCACTGCTTGGGAGTAACATGTGGGATCTGTGGTGACGGTGAGCGCATGAAACTGCTCATCCGTTCCACGAGTCTTACGCCGAGTGCGCATGACGTGCCCTTCGCTTTGGGATGATTTAGTAGCGGCCTTCCGTTGTCTCCGAGTTGGAGCTGGGGCAGCCTCTATAGCCATTTGAGGCGGTTCCTGGGTCAAGGGTAACTCCATTGGCGGTGGTGGAGCCGGGGTATTAACAACCACATGACTAGAACCCCAGGGTGTAGGGATGTCAAATGGGCCAGCCCATTGGGTTATGGACTGGCCCTGCAGGGTTGTTGGGCTTGTTGGATTGGGCTAAATGGTTTTTTATTTTTTTCTTTTTGAGCTGGGTTGGTCCTAACCCTAAACAGCGGGTTGTTGGGCTAATCCAACGGGCTCAATCACTAAACAAAAATTTACAAATAAGAGTGGATGTCCACATTCGATGGAGAGGCCGTGATGAGTTTTGAAAAATCTACCTAACACACACACACACACACACACACACACACACACACACACACACACACACACACACACACACACACACACACACACACACACACACACACACACACACACACACACACACATATATATATATATATATATATATATATATATATATATATATATATATATATATATATAATTCACATGCCACAAATCCATAATCAACATTAAAGTTCAAAACAAAAAATGTCACAAATCCACAATAAATACTAAAGTTCAAAACAAAAATGCCACAAATCCACAATCAACATTAAAGTTCAAAACAAAAAACAAATCAAATGTAAAATAACAATCTTCTTTTTCCTTATTCTTCGCCCGCAACATTTGAAGCTCCAACACTAACTTCACCAACATAATCTTCATCTTCACCTTCATCTCCATCTTCATCTTCATCTTCATCTTCATCTTCATCTAAAAACAATAACATTTATTTAATAGTACAAAAAAATAAATCAAACTTGATAAATACACTAATATTACCATTTGTAGGAAATCCATGCAACCAATTTCGTGCACAAATAAGAGCTTGTACTTTTTTTGGAAGGAGTCTATTTCTATATTTGTTCAAAATATGGGCTCCAATACTAAAGGCGGATTCTGATGCTACACTTGTAATAGGAATAGAAAGCACATCACATGCCATTTTAGCAAGCTGCCCATAACTTTGCTTTTTTCCTTTCCAATACAAAAGGACATCTATATCATCCAATTGATTCATTTGCACTTCTTCCAAGTATTTGTCTAAATTAGACTTTAAATCTTGATTGCCACTTTCAGCTTTGCTTCGATAATCAATATAACCCTACATAATTTAAGCATATACAAATATTAACCAATAACAAAGAAACAACATAAGCAACATATGATTAACAACATAAAGAAATTAACTTACAGAAATAAGAGTTTCATCCAATTTTCCATGTCCTCCTCTACTTCTCAATCCTCCTCTCCTTACTCCACAAATCTTTGGTGCCAAAGATTCTTGTGATTGAGAAGTAAAAGCTCCAGAAGATGAAGAACCAACACTCCTTTTCGTATACTCATTGTACAACATATATAATTTGTTCTTTATCCATTCAACCTTGACTTGATAAGTATGTGGATTAAGCATCTTATAACAATATTCCACAAATTGCAATTTCAATCTTGGATCAAAAATAGCCCCCATTGCAAGTATTACACTGTACTCATCCCAATACTTGTCAAACTTCAATTTCATATTCTTAGCCATATCCTTTACTACTTCATCCTCATTTTCTAAATTTTCAAGCAACAAACATTCAATCTTCCAAACTTGCAAAAAATACAAATTTGAAGTAGGATAGGATGAACCAGAAATCAAGTTGGTGATGGCATAAAATGGATACAAAAATGCACACATCCTTTCCCCTCTTGACCACTCTTCATCTGAAGGACAACACTTATAATTTCTATCCTTTAATCCAAGAGAGCAAAAAACACGACGATACTGTATAGCACTATCAAGCATCACATAAGTTGAATTCCAACGAGTTGGCACATCCAAAGCAAGTCCACAAGTTATATCAATACCAACACGTTGAGCACATTCTTGAAATGATATCATTCTTGCTTCAGACATTTTTACATACTTAATGCTCTCTCTAATTTTTCCTAATGCAACACTAGCAACTTTCAATCCATCTTGCACAATCAAATTCAAGATATGTGCACAACACCTTACATGAAAAAATTCACCACCACAAAGCAAACTATTTTGTAACGAAAGTTGCTGCTTTAGAAGTCTCACCATCACATCATTAGCAGAAACATTATCCAAAGTAATGGAAAACACTTTACTATCTATCCCCCAATCTACCAAGCAGTCATAAACTTTCCTAGACAATTCAAAGCCAGAATGTGGAGGAGGCATATCACAGAATGAAAGTATTTTATTATTTAACACCCAATTTTCGTCCACATAATGCACAGTCAAGCATATATAACCGGCATTTGTACAAGCAGTCCACACATCACATGTTAAACAAAGCATACCGGGAATATTTTTCAATATCAACTTCAACCTTTCTTTTTGTCTTTCATACAATTGCAAAACATCCGATGCCACAGTATTTCTAGAAATGAATTGAAAATCAGGATTCAAATACTGACAAAGCAACCTCACACTCCTATATTCAACCCATTTAAATGGAAGATTATGTTCAATTGTACACTGGGCAATTAACTCACGACAAACTTTTTGATCAATGACTCTATTATTCAATTTCCCCTCTTGATCAATTAACATAGCACCCGCATCTCCAAGTTCTGGTTTCTTTTTACATATCAACATATGCCGACTTAAAGTTGATGTTCCACTTCCAACATCATGCAAATATGATTTTTTACAATAATTACATGTAACCCTCCCTCTACCATCTTCACCTTTTTGAACATCTGAAAAATGATTCCAAACTTCCGATGATTTTCTTCTTTTTTGAGTAGATAAACTATCACTATCAATTGAATCAGTTTCATTCAAACTAGACATTTCTTCTATACCTAAAAATAAAATAAAAATATAGAAATTAAACAATATACTGAAAACATGTAATTTTCAAATAAATAAATTCAATGCATATAATAATTCATCATTTAAATTCATAAATGAATAAACATATAGCTGCAAAATCAAATAAACCAAATATTTAAATTATATAATAATTGCATTAAACCTATTGCAGTATAAATTATAGTATAACAGTATAAGAAATTGAAATTGAATAACAGTATTAATTAACAGTATAAGACATTGTAATTGAATAAGAAATTGTAATTGAATAAGAAATTGAAAATTGAATATGAAATTGAATAACACTATAAGAAATTGAAATTGAATAACAGTATAAATTAACACAACAGCAAATTCTAGAATAAGAAATTGAAATTACTTTGGGAGAAGAAATTGAAATTACTTGCAGAGATTCAGTTTGCAGTCGGAGATGTCGCGGTTGACCGGTGGACGTCGACGACTTTACTGCTTGTCAGATTCCAACGGGCGGAGATGCCGCGGTTGACCGGTGGACGTCGCAAACTGGGTTCGCCGCCGGTGGACGTCGCAGACTGGGTTCGCCGCCGGTGGACGTCGCAGACTGGGTTCGCCGGAGACGCAATCGTAGATGAGCAAACTGGGTTCTCGGCTTCTCGCTTCTCAGTCGCAACTCGCAATTCTCAAATTTCTCTGTTCAAAGTCGCGATTCTCAGACTTACACGGTAGATCGGCCCTACAGGGTTCAATGAATGTGAACATTTGGATATTACATGGGCCGGCTCAACAATCCAATGAGTTGGCCCAACTCAATCCAATAACCCTATAGGGCCAACCCAATGAGCTTACTTTTTTATTGGATTGATTTTTGCGGATTTTAGCCCTGCAATTTTTAGGGCTTATTGGGCCAGCCCATTGGTTCAGGGCTAAATTGACATCCCTACCAGGGTGCAGTGATAGGTTGCTCATCAGTAACCTGTACAGATGCCTGCATAGAAAAGGGGAAAGTGGACTCATCAAACCTGACATGATGGCAGATAAAGATCTTCCCCGTGGATAAGTCTAGACAGCGGTATCCCCCTGCATAGAAAAGGGGAAAGTGGACTCATCAAACCTGACATGATGGCAGATAAAGATCTTCCTCGTGGATAAGTCTAGACAGCGGTATCCCCTATAAGAGACTGGGTAACCTAAGAAGACACATGGTGCCGACCGATATTCCATTTTATGGCGATTGTAGGGCCGCAAATAGGGATAACAGCGGCAATCGAAGACACGGAAAAAGTTATATGTTGGTTGGGTGTTATATAGACGGGAATATGGTGTTTGAAACTGTATGGTTGAAGATGGTAAGTAGTTGATTAAATGGGCAGTTGTTTCAAAAGCATAGTCCCAATATTGGAGGGGGGTTGAGCTTTCAGCTAATAAAGCTAAGCCAGTTTCGACAATGTGCCGATTCCGGCGCTCAACACGACCATTTTGTTCGTGTGTATAGGCACAAGATTGCCTATGAGTTATGCCAAGAGACTCGAAAACAGTGTGTAATCGGCGATATTCACCGCCCAAGTCAGACTGGATAGCTTTGATAGAACGGGAAAATCGCCGTTCTACCATTGCCCGAAATAAATTGAACGTTTTATATATGTCTGACTTTAATCTTAGCGGATAAAACCAGCAAAACCGCGAGTAATCGTCTACAAAAAGAACAAAGTAACGGAAACCCGAATTACTAATAACAGAAGACGGACCCCAGATGTCCGTGTACAATAAATCTAAAATATTGTGACTAGTGTTTGAAACTCTATATAGTGGAAAACGTGCTGATTTTCCAAGTTGGCATGCGGTGCACATTCTTGACGAACTAGTTTTATTTGGCAAAACCAAGCAACTTTTTAAGACATGCTGGAGGACTTCATGTGAGGGTGACCCAATGCAACCGTTGATGCCACACCTGTGACAATGCCTGGGTGGACAGAAACGCAAAGTGAGCTCGGGGAACCAATAGCTTGTATAACCCGGCCGAGGTTGACCCTTTAAGCAGGGCCGTTTGAGTGTTGGAATCCTTCACAAGAAACAAATCTTTATGAAATTCGAAAAACACATTGTTTTCGTTAGCAAAACGATAAACAGAAAGCAATGGTAAAGTCAAATTCGGAACATGTAAGATATTTGACATTTGTAGATTTTTAGACCGGGATGGGATTACTGCATGACCCACACAGGAAATATCCAAACCTGCGTCGTTGCCAACTTTGAGTACGTCCCCGCCAGTGTAAGCCTCGGAATGGTGCAACATCTGTTCATCCGGAGTCACATGAGACGAGGCACCCGTGTCCGGGTACCATGCATCGGCTACCTGAGGTTCACCTGTGACCGCAACATTGGCTTGACCTGCATGCGGCTGTGGACGCTCAGCATAACGCTTAAAACAATTCACGGCCGTATGGCCGTGTGATTTGCAGATTTGGCAACGGGGTGTGCCGCCGCGCCCTCGGCCATTGTTGTTCCCCCTGCCACGACCGTGCCGTCCACGACCGCCGGAAGCAGTGCGACCACCGGATCCTTGGTCTCCGTTATTTCTGCCGTGCCCCGCAAAGAACGCCGACGGGCTGCCACCTGCGCTGGACTCCACTGCAAAGTCATCAGAGTGTATGAACTCTTGCGCCTGTAGATGATCAGCAAGTTGCGACAGGGAGACGGGACTACCGGAGACGGTGAGCGAGCTGGCCATCGCTCGAAATTCATGCCGTAGCCCACGCAGAACATACAATATTTGTTCATCCGGAGATAGAGGACGTCCGGCCAGCGCGAGTGCTTCAACAATGGTCTGGGCTTTGCCGAGATATTCCGCCGGTGAGCTTCCTCCCTGGCGCAATGTTTGAAACTGTCCGAGCAGACTCAGACAGCGGGCGCGAGTGGTTTACGCCAATGCCGATGTGACCAACTCCCAGACCTCTCTGGCGATGTTCCGACCAAGAGCGTGATGCATAACTTCGTCGGAGAATGAGGAAATCAGCAGTGATAAAATTGACTGGTCCTGCTGGACCCAGGCGGTATGCGCGGGATTAGGAGCCGTGGTGGTTGTCGTTGCCGCAGCATCACCGGAAGCCAAGGTGACGGAGATAGTCTCCGGAGGGCACGGGAGACTGTCGTCGATGTATCCCAGTAGCCCTTAGCCACGGAGAAAGGGGAGGAGTTGTGTCCTCCAGAAGAGATAATTGCGCGTGGTTAACTTCATAGAAACAAAATGATCCGCGACTGAAAAGGGGTTTGGAGTCGCCAGCATAGTGGGTGCGGCGGGGATGATTGGTTGCTCAGATGAATTCGAAGTCATCGGGAGTTTTGGTGAGAGAGCGGAAACGGAAAACGAATAGGAAAGAGACTCGCAGTCCTATCGCAACTGATACCAGATGAGACGATATGATTTCAAATTCAAAAAAATAGTTTCAATCAGATTATAGAGTATGAGAATACTAGAGTCCTATAGGAGAAATAACATGATAGTCTCCTACTATTCAGGCTAGGACTATTGACTACATTACAACCAATAATATTAAAGCATACAATGTACACATGAAATATTAATATTGCTAACAATTAGGACTATATTATTCATATTAGACTAGGATTATATTATTCGTGTTAGACTAGGATTCTATCTAGCATCTCTATATATTCGCTCCCTGTACTCTCAGACATTATTATTGAATACAACACTATTATATTCTCATCATGAAAAATATTTTTTTAAAATCTAGTTTTTAAGAATCATTTAGTCAATGTAGTCTACAAGTTTATTCAATATTTTATCGTATTCAAATTAATTTAGAAGAAAAAACATTTATGAATATAATAATATCAATAGAGAATTAGAGATGATTGGCGTGGTTTATAATGTATTTTTTATTCAAACTATTTTATCTAATTGATTGTGTTTCACATTTTATCATGAATATTTCTATAGCATTTTCAAAGTGCTTTAAAATTTCGCCCCCAAGTCAATTATATTTATGGCTCCACCCCTAGAAAAAAGACAATATTTTTTGTATATTCGTAATAAATTTGTTTTTTCTTTTATTTACATTAGGTTTCTTATCTTATGCTAGAATAATCCTAAGTCCAAAGAACCTCTTTGTGCTTCAGTTGGTTGAGGAAGTAGTTTATGAACAGATACTACATTGTAATAGAGTAAGTAGCATTCAAAAAAAAAGTCCAAAGACCTCTATTATTAGGCACTGGAAGAGGTAAAACGTGTTTTTAAAAAAATTGTTTTTGTGATATAATTAGACTTGGTGTTGGTATTTAAAAAAAAAGAAAAAAAAAAAGAGAGATAGTGATTTGATTTTAGTCAAAATATAATATTTATTATTTTTGCTTGAAATGATGAGGTGTCGAGAGGATAATGAGTAGGAAGAAAATTGGTCGTGAACCAATTTTGCAGCCACAGTGAGATGGAAAAGACAATATTATTCATGCAAAAAAGGGGGAAAAAATTTTCCGGCTAAAATTGAACGGAGAATGTACCGGAAGGACCAAATTCGCTAAGAACGTAATAATCGTGGACCAATTCTACAAGTTTTGAAAGTCGTGGATTAATTTTATTAGTGACACTACAGTCGTGGAACCAAAAGTGCAAAAAAATTCTAACATAATAATTTTAGTTAGTTTATTTATATAATTTCATATCATAACATAATGTGAGTAGGGATTTTTGCTCATTTTAAAGTTTTGATATCTAGAATTGATTGATTGAGATTAACCTTTTACCTATAATTGTTAAGCACCTTGTGCTCAGATGGCATCTGAGTTGGGTTCTCATATAGGAGGTTGTGAGTTCAAGTCTCAATAGAGGCATATTATTGGTTCTTTGTGCTTTAATAGATTGAGAAAGTAGTTATGAACAGATGTTACATTGTAATAGAGTTAGTAGCATTAAAAAAAAAAAAAAAAAACCTTTTACCTATAGTCGTGTATTCTCAATAATAAAATTTAAAAAATATTAAACTTGCTTTAGAATTAATTATATTAATTAATCACAAAAAAAAATGAGAGAATTAGAATGATTCATTACAATTGCAATTATAAATACATTGAACTAAAGATTGACGGGTGAATGAGCACATCAAGAAAAACACAAATGAGTCATCACAATAAATAGTGGAGAAAATGGTGATTGATTCCAAAAGATTTGATCTTTGATTGTTTGGATCTAATCAATTATTCTTAGGGTCCCAAATATATTTTAGGTAATTTGAAACTTTAAAGATGCCCCCTCTTCAACGGACATAATTATAGACTTAGACATGTAGTACACATGGGGCTTGCTTTATGAGTATTATTAGTGAAATTATTTATGAAAGGGCCAAATTATATATATATATATATATATATATAGGTTTAGATCAAGTGCACATGCCACTTCACGTACGAAAATGTGATTTGTGTACTTGAAGGCTTAAAACCATGCACTTGAAGGTGAAAAATGTGCACTTAAAGGTGAAAAAGTTGTATTCGAAGGCAAATAGATGTGCAATTGATGCAATTTCTGGTGCCAAAAAAGGAGGTTATTCAACTTAAGTGTTATTAAACCAATTACCCATACAAATCGTTTGTAAATCTTGCAAATTTCAGTAAAAATTTAGTTATATGTTATTGAAAAGAATGCACAAGATATAACAAATAAATACTGCCCAGAAGTTGTGCACTTGAAAGCAAAAAAACATGCACTTGAAGGCAAAATGGTTCACTTGAATGTTAAGTTTTTTTTTTTTTGTTTTTTTTTTTTGTTTTTTTTTTTATTTACACAATAGTAAGACACACATACACTTTTAGGCATTAAATTGAGCATTGAAAGCATAAAGAGGATCACTAGAAGGCAAGTGAGAAAAAAAAGGACACTAAAAGGGAAAATTCGAATGAAATTAATTATGCACTCTTAGAAAGGAAAATATGCACTTGAAGGCTACAAAACGTGCACTTGAAGGCCAAAAGATGTGCACTCAAAGGCACAAAGATGTGCATTCAAAATAGAAACTAAGAGTCCGTTTGGCAAGCAGGGAAATGACTTCTGGAAAATGTTTTCCGAAAAATGAGTCATTTTCCAGAAAACATTTTCATTTCCAGTGTTTGGTTACATTCCAGAAAACTGTCTTGATGTGTTTGTTTTATTTTTTGAAAAATGAGCAGAATTGTTTTTAATGATTTATTATTATTATTATTATTATTATTATTATTATTATTATTATTATTATTATTATTATTATTATTATTATTAAAAGATAAAAAGAAAAAAAATAAATAAAACAAGGAATTTGGTTTCTGCTCGCGGAAACCAGTGCCCACTGGTTTACGCGAGCGAAAACCAAAACAGAAACTAACTGGTTTCCACAGTCGGAAACCGCTGGTTTTCGGTGATTTCCGCAGCTGGAATTATGGTTTATGGTGGTTTTCGCAGTTATAGATCAGATCTGGAAAGATGTGGAAGAAGATGAAAAAGAAGTCTTGGAGAAGACAGTGAAAGAAGACGAAAACCAGCTGGTTTCCAGTGGTTTCTGCGGCCAGAAACTATGGTTTCTAGTGGTTTCTGCAGCCGTAGATCAGATATGGAAAGACGTAGAAGAAGTCTTGGAGAAGACGGTGGAAAAAGATGAAAATATTTTCTGCTAGTTGCCTCACTAGTTCTGCTGAAGAGGGAGTGGAAAATGACTTCCCCCAAAAATAAGGGGAAGTCATTTTCCGAAAAAGATGTGTTGTTTTCCATTGACTAAGTGCCATTTTCTTTTGACTTCCCTTTTCTTTGCCTAGACAAACACCAAAAACCCGAAAAATGATTTTCAGAAATCATTTTCCAAAGAGAAAATTACACTTTTGGTCCTATGACTATAGGGGGAGTAGTAATTTCAATTCGTGACTTTTAAAAGTAACAGATTTAGTCCTTTTAGTATTTTTTTTTTTACACATTAAGTCCTTCCGGCTAATTTGCCGGTAGATTTTCGCCGGAAAAACAAATTCATTTGTTTATTAATTTTTTTGGGGGGGTAAAATGGTCACTTTTGGTCTGAGAAAAAAGGGGATTATCAGTGGTTTCTCCTGGTGATGAAACTACCTAGAAATGCTAAGAAGCTAAACAAGATGTCCGCCATAAACATTGCAATTTTGGTTGTTCACGCTACAAAATTTATCCGAATCTGAAGAAGATGATATTCTTGGACACTGCTAAAGGAGTGACTTCTACATTTAGACCATATTGGATGGAAGCAACCTGGGAATATGCTTCTATTATAGCATCTGATTAAAAATAATTTTAAAAATAAAGAAAAAGAAATGCTCAAGAATGGAAGTATTCAAAAATGAATTTGTTGAGTGGTGCAAAGATAAATTGATTTATTTGAAGCTCATTTTTTTTATCATGGTTATATAGATAATCGCGATTGGTGATGGGGAAAACGATATGGAGATGCTTATGTGATTGGTTCCAGCAACGATGAAGATGGAGCACCGTTTATCCCCTTTTTTCTCAGGTCGGGGATTCTCATTGCACGAGGCGAATTTCGCTGAGTTTCGGGAGAATTTTCTGTGTTTTCGGTGAAATCGTGTCGAGGATCCGTTTTATTAATGTTGGAAGTTAAGGTTTCGCGGCGATAGCCATGGAAGTACAGCATACAAGCTCCCAAATTCTTCGTCTTTCCGCCAACCACAAGAAGGATCATCTCTACTGCGGCTCTTGCGTGT